TTATTGCTTATTTCATTGCTTATACAGTGAGTTTTTCCCCTCTTCCCTACACCCAATCTGTGTCTATATTGTTTAGTGTCAAGGAGGAATGTCATATTACTCACCAATCATGAAGACCATAGCTTATGTTATTGTAGTTATCCTATGGTTAAATGTTGCTGAAGGAGTGCCACCTTTTGGTAAATGGGTGGAATAACATGAGCAAAGCATTTGTGCTTTTCTCCCTGGGTATAGAAAAACGTATGTCAGGAAATAAACGTTAATTAAATGGAAAAGTTTCAGAAGAGTTTTCTTTCTCAAAATGGACAAAGGGACAGTGGTTTGTTAGTAATGGAATAGGCTGTCAGGCTGTGAATAATGTCAACACTTGTACCAACTAACGCCCTTACTTCTTTGAAAAGTTTCAGATCCATACAGTTGAGTAAACCACTGTGGAGGGGGTAGGCAGAGGCAGTTATTCTAATCATAGGAAGGCATGTATGGATCCAGTATTAGGCAAATGTTCCCAGCTATGGGAGTGGTGGTCAATTTAGCAGTGGATTAAAATGCCTAAGGAAGATTATGGAACCATTTTCCATAGTGCTTTTGAAATGAATCATGAAGAGTTGTTGATTTTTTTATCACAGTGTTCCCACAGGATTTCCTTGTTTGATTTTCTGTGCTCTGTAGCAGTGGTGTGAGTCAGAAAGCATCTTATTTAAGATCCTGTGATTTTCTGTTTTTTAAAAAACTCTAAAAGCAAGATTAGATTTTTTTTTAAAAAAAAATATTGCTCTATACCTGGTGGTAACAGCTTCCTGGGCAGAAGCCTTCAGGTGGCACTAAACCAGCAAAGAAAATGCATAAAGCAAAAAATTCCAGCAATAAAACTTGCTTACTAATATTTCTGCAAGGTTTCCTCAATATTTTTAAAGAGAGATTTTAAAAAAAAAGAGATGCTGATTCCAAAAAGAACAGAAGTGGATTTACAGAGAGTGTTCACAGTGAGAGGATCTTGAAATCAGAATATATTTCTTAAAGAGATGCTGATGAGAATTCAGATGGAATTTATTGCTGGTATAAGTGTCATTGTGTAAATCATGGTGGCAAATTACTGCTGAATTCTTGGTCATACACCAACTCATATGACTGGCATATGACTAGGAATGTGAACAACAGCTTGTCAATTAATTGCAATATCCTAATATAATTTTATGCATTTGTCATTACTCTGGTATAAATCCCCAGTAGGGCCCAAGCTGCTGATTTCTTAAAGAGAAGATAAGTAGGGTAATAATTTTCTATATGATGGGGAAGATGATAGCCTTGTAAGTACAAATCCTGTTGTAAGTCATGTTTTTAAATGAGTGATGTTTTCAGTGTTGGGCAAATGCTAGGCTTGGAGGTCCATAACTAGCCACAGAACTTTGTTATTCTTACTTAATGTGATGTTCTTGGTAAGGTCATGAGTAAATGGAACATTTCCATGCTTCCACCAGCCTTCCTCAGTATCCATAAAAAAAACTCTAGAAGCAGGACATTGTTCCATTGCAAAAAGTTCTGAGCAACAAGAGAGAGGGCTGGCATCATAAACCTGTCCCTTGACCACACCACTTAGATGACAGATCTAGGAGCACTTGATAGGATTTTTTTCCATGTAGAAAGCAAAAACAGAAAATCCTTTGTCCATGTGGAAGATTATCAGGTCAGGGAAACAAAAATCTATCTAGCCTAGGATTCTTCCTGATATTCTAGTTTTCTATGTAGAAGGATTTTTGTATAGTATAGTCAATTATGTAAGGCTCAACTTGCCATCCTAGATGTATAGGTTGGATGGCATGGTACCTTTCTGGGACATCTCTCTGGAACTAGAGTTGAAAGCACTGTTTTACAATGGCTCCAGTCCTTCTTGAAGGGAAGAACAAAAAAGGTGGTGTTGGGGGACTCCTGTTCAATGCTGAGGCCATTGGCGTGTGGCATTTCTCAGGGGTTTGTTTTGTCTTCCATGCTTGCCGTATCCCCCTAGTGTCCCTTGTTTATTCTCCCCAAACACAGGCCCACCCTCAGGATGCGTTGCCTCTTTTTACGCTGCCACCAGTGGATCTAGTCCACAATACACCAAATATATTTCAGACACGTGCTGCCAACACAACAGGTTTTATTGATCATTTAGTTGGTATGTAAACCACAGATGTAAATCACAGTTGTTGAGGATCATTCATTAAATTGGATTTGATTACACGTTTACTTGTATGTGTTTTTATTCACAGTAACCTCTTTCACAATATTTTTAATCATCTATCTATTCTTTATTCCTTTTATCTCTTTCCTATTATCTATAACACTCCAACTTTCCAATCTCTGTCTTAACTCTCTCAATTCAATGTCCTAACTCTCTCACTTCCATTCCCTATCTCTTCTCTGTCTCTCTCTCTCCAACTGTCACTCTAACTCCACCCCTCCTGTCCTATCATAGGCTCCTGCACTTCAGCTGCATATGATGGACAGGAGTGACGTGGGTATTCCGCCACAATACTATTTAACACATACATAAAACTGGGAGAGCTTGTCCGAAGTTTTGTGGTTTCTTATGCAGTATGCAGATGACACCTAGCTCACTCTCTCCTTCCATCTAAATCTGAGGAAGCTCTTTTGGCTCTACATCATGTAATATTTATATACAGTGGTGCCTCGCAAGATGAATTTAATTTGTTCCGCGGTTAATGTTGTCTTGCGAAAAATGTGTCTTGCAAAATGCGTGTTCCCATAGGAATGCATTGAAATCTATTTAATGCGATTTAATGCGTTCCTATGGGCAATAAAAGTCAGAACAAAGTCAGATTTGGTTTACAAAGGGTTTATTAAGTGCTCTTTAAAGCCATACATATTGTGAAGATGATTTCAAAAATTTCAGTCAAAAAACTTTACCTTTTTTAACATCATAGAAAACATTTAAAAATCAGCAAACATGAGGCAGGAACAAATAATGGGAAACATTCATCTTGTGAAGCGCGGCCATAGGAACATTCATCTTGCGAGTAATCAACCCAGTTGCCAAAACCATTTATCTTGCAAGTTTTTTGTCCTGTGAGGTGTTCGTTTTGTGAGGCACCACTGTACTTACTGTTTTTAGCTTTTAAATATGGTATTTTTATTGATGTAAGTTGCCTTGGGTCCTTTTAAAGGAGAAAAGTAGTGTAAAATATTTTAAAGAAATGAAATAAAATATACATACATACATACATACATACATACATACATACATACATACATACATACATACATACATACATACATACATACATACATACATACATACATACAACTTCAGAGGACCATTTACCCCCCTACAAAGGTGCGTTCATGGGGCAAAGTGTCAAATTCGAGAACATGGGTTTTACGGTATGTTATGCTAGTTCTGAGGAAGTGTACATAGGTTTCAGAGAGAGAGAGAACAGACCAGGTGCTTTATTTTTAATAAGAAAATGCCTTTCTGCTGCTGCAGAGAGTGACTTGGCTGATCAGTGCACCCGTTTCTGATCCTGGGCAAGAATGCCCATAGAGTAATGCAGGCAGAAGAATGTTTGCTTCCACAAGAAAAACCCACCAGCAACCTCATCATAATGTAAGTGCTTCCACCCTGAATGTGGTGTTACTTGCTTCTCATATGATAAAATGTAGGCTATTGGACATCCAAACACAGGAACTGCAAAGTGCTATGAATGAGACCTGCTCACTGATGAGTCTGCAGATTCCCATCAAAGTAGGTCAGCCAGCACAGTATCTTTACCTGCTAAAATGTCCCTGTGAATGCAGGGCTTTTACCCTTGCTAGATGCAACACCATTCCATCGGCAGTGCTGTAAGTGCCATATTAAAGAAGAGGGGCTGTTCAGATTTTGACACACAGAGTTGTATCTTATCAACAGGAGAGTCAGTTATAATGGAGAATGTGGCAACCTTTTTGAACCAAATAACGAGGAGCTGCAGACTGGGACATAAAAAGTTTGTAGATTCAGTTCATTAATAGTTTGTTGTTATCCTGCATACGTAATTTTTAGTATATGCCAACAAAGGTCTTGACTGACTGACTGACTTTTTATAGAGACAAATACAATATAACAATAATAAAAACAAAAACAATAGTAAAGATAAAAATATCATAAAAATATTTTCTGGCCTAGATCTTGTGCTGCATGTTTCTGGGGGCCAGGCTCGGGTGATTCCCTGAAAGATGGAAGGTGACCCTTACTAGTGTGATTAGATGGATGTCTTTCCTGACATCTGATTGCACCTTAACGTAATCATCTGTGTGAAAATGATATTGTGCTACAGGGTCACCAGTACCCTGAAAATGCTAGAAGAAACTGGACCACATACATCAGCAAATAGTTCAGTTTGGACATGGACTCACAACTTCACTGAGACCAGAGTGCAGTGCTGCTTCCAGTTTTCCTAAGCACCTCTGATCTGAAGGGTTGCACTGTCCTGGAATAATCTGTGATAATTATGGGAGTAGAGAAGAACGAGTGTCTGTTAGGAAACCTGGAAACTTTCCCCCCCTCCCAAACAACATTAAAGCCTGTCTTTAATGAACAGAAAAATTTATCCGTGTCAAATGGATGGAAGAAAATAATGGAGATTTGCTGTTTATACCTAAATGAGTAAAAGAGACACAGATAATGAATGAGGTGTGGGAGGAAGTGATCAGGTTTGAGAACATTATTCTATGAATACTGGAAGCAGACAATAAAAGAAGGGAGGGTATACTCCAAGAAACCCTAATCAGTAAAAACAGGCTTAATTTTGCGACTTATAATTATCTTGCTCCCTTGTGGCATGCAGCTATTCATGCAAGGGTGGTTTGACCTATCTTTGCTTCCAGCAAGGACTAAATAAATGAAGGCAAACAGAAAGAACTTGCTGATGGATCTTTTGCCCAAGCCTGCTTCCACCCACCCTTATTTGAAGCCAGGCTTACCTTTCACGTTACTTCACTGGCTGTCTCTTTTTCTCCCACAGATGATAACTGCACAGACAGTTTCACACCAAACCAAGTGGCTCGGATGCATTGTTACCTGGATCTGGTGTACCAGCAGTGGACTCAAGGCAGAAAGCTCACCCCTATCCCTATGCCACCCATGGTTATTGGCCAGAGCAAGGATACTCTTTCCATATATTGGCTGCCTCCCATTAGTGGGGTGCTCTATGAAAGGTAAAATAGGAATCTAAGGGAATAAAAACAGTCTCAATTAGCTTTAATATGCAGCTGAAAAGAATCTTAGTATATTAACTAGCTTACTAGTAAAGATGTCCCAGGGCCTGATAATTTGAACTCTTCAGCACCATGCACCATATTTATTGCACATGGAAAATCCTTACATTCTTCCTTGGTGCATCTATAATGTTTAATTACTTTTTAGGATCATGCAACCTCACAGCCTCTTTAAAAACATATGAAGCTGCCTTACACTGTCATATAATTGGTCCATCTAGACCAATGTTATCAGTTCTGACTCATTGTGGCTCTCCAGGTCTTCAAGCAGAATATTCTTCTAGTTGTACTTGAAGAACCCTGATACTCTTTGCTAACCTTCCATACTAAGCAGTCTTGGACCTACCTAGCTTCCAAACTCAGGTGTGATCAGAAAGGAATTATGGTTTTGTTTTCTTCTTACTGTTGGAAGCCTTTAATTCTCACATTTAATTCATTTACTGGAAGAAGAGTGGGGGATGTCTTCTGCCATCTTGTTGTAAGACATAGTTGTTTGGGGAACTCATTTTAAAGCTATGAGGTAAGATATAACTTATAATCAATCAACCAATTAGCCAATATCTTTCATAAAGTTCAAAGTTGGCCAGATTGGAACACTTGTTAAATTGTATTAAGCTCCTTATTTTAAAGAAACAAGCATGCTTCAAGCTCTGTTTTATCAAGATGCTTTGTTAAGAATAAGTACATTTAGGGTTCAAATATAATGCTAAACCATAGTTAATTTGAAGCGGTACTGGAAGTTTCCATTAAACCATACCAAAGGAGAGGGGAAAGTGTTGAAGTATAGAACTACTCATATAGCAATAAACTGTGTTCTACCCTTCAATAAAGCCTAATAGTTGCTGCCTGAGAGAGAGAACTCACAATGTGACATTGGTGGGGCTGGCCCTGCATGTATGTCTTCTGGGTATTTTGCCACCTCCTTGCCTTTCCTACTTGAAATGTAAAGTTTCTTGTGATGTGTTTCATAGACAGGCTTTCTTCTGGCTTTGCCCCCCCCTCTCTCTCTCTCTCTGTGTGTGACTTTGCCCCCCCCTCTTTGTCTCTCTCTCTCTCTCTCTCTCTCTCTCTCTGTGTGTGTGTGTGTGTGTTGTGTGTGTATGATTCCTCTCCTGTCCTCCTCTCCACCCACCCACACATACTCATTGCAGTGATAAAATGTTTATTTGAACATGAACACTGTGGCAAAGCTCTACTTGAGCTCGTATTTGTGAGTTCCAGAAGGTGATGGAGATGAGCTGGCAATTCCTTTCAGCTGTTTGCCAGTTGACATACCTTTTGCCTGGGCTTTATGTCTGAAACAAGTTGGGGGAGGGGTAGACAGTTATTTGTACAGCTGTTGGAAAGAAAACCCCAGCTTTAAGCCTTTTGTGGAAAGTGTCATGATACATAGATCACTACGTGATGACCGATGTAACTGTAGAATAGTTCTGGAGTTCTGCATTTGAAAAAGTCCCCACAATCTAACTACAGTCAGAATAAACCCTTTCTCACACAGTGCTGCCCCTTGCCCCATCTATTGCACCTGAATTTGCTTTACTTTCGTTCCTCCTCCATCTTTGAAAAATACTTCAGTTTTCTCTGCTACATCTCTTTTGGGTGTTACAGAACACTTTAGGTACTTACAGTGGTAAAGGCAGAGTATGAGTGACTAGTATCCATGAACAGATTTTGGGATGGTTGGAGAAAAATATTTTACCTTCAAACAACTGAAAGCTCCAATCCAAACTGGAAAGTTGCCTGTTCTTAGTAGAAATAGGATTTACGAAATATATGTACAGTAGCTTACTGGTAAATGACTCCTGGAACAATCTTCTAAAGAGTCTTATGGTGCAGGGGTTAAACTGTAGTATTGCAGCCAAAATGCTGCTCATGGTCAGTGTTTGATACCAATGGATCTGATAGCCGACTCGAGATTAATTCAGCCTTCCCTCCTTCTGGGATTGCTAAAATGAGTACCCAGCTTGCTTGTGGCAGTGTGTAGCCTGTATAATTAAAAATTGTAAACTGTCCAGAGAGTGCTTTAAGCACTATGGGATGGTGTATAAGCACTACACTTTGCTTTAAAACAAAAAGACTTAGAAAATCATGAGTGCTGAAGCTGAAACATCTTTAATAAACTGGCACACAGGCTTGGATGGCTGAAAGAGAACAGAGTGATTACTTTTCCCTTTATTTTAGAGCCCCAGGGAGTCTCTGTGGAAATTGTGCTGGAGATGGGACATTCAGCCAGTATGCGTATGAGGCCTCATCGCCTCTAATCTGTGATTCTTCTGGCTACTGGACTCCAAAGGAAGCAACAGGTAAAATCCCTGGCAGATATGGACTGGTATCCTATCAATGAAGACACCTTATATATTCAGCTATTTCACAGAGCTTGGAATGTTAACTTTCAAGATCAGTTAGTTAACACTGACCATCAGAAATTGGGACATGAACTCGTTGGTGTCAACATTTGAAATGGGGAAAAAGTCAACTCTTTAAATTGACATCATAAATCTAAGTGTTAGGTTAATGGGCTCTCTACAGAGAATATAAGTCACTCACACTTCCCTTCCCCAAAGAAGACAATTTTCCTTTCCTTTTGAAGCTAGGTTTATAATATTGTATGTAGTTTAACCTTGTCAGTATAAATGTGTCTACATTATAACACCAGAAAACCTTAGTCAAGATACTAACAACCTACATTATTTCTTTAGGATTCTGTCTTAAATCTATCAGCACCCTCAAGCTTGAGAACCATTGATCTATAAAGAGCTTTGCGACTCCTGATGCACTTCTTTAACATAATGTACTAAGAAACTTTGCTTGAGAGTTCTGGCCTCCTTCTGGCCCTCTCAGAGAGCTTCTGGCCTCTCTCATCTCAGGTAGCTGCTGAGATTGTAGTGACCCCATTCCTGTTGCACGCAAATCATTTGTGCTGCCCCATAAAAGAAAAAAAATTAAACCCAGGCTTCTGCCACCCATGGATTATTTTCTTACTGTTGATGCTGAATTGGCAAACCCACAAAGCTATGATGCTACATTTTGAATCCAATTCTTTTGTTCTGATCATCCCACAGCTGATTGTAAATGAAAAAGAAACCCCCCGTAGCACCAAAAGAAGTTGTGTTTTTCTTTTTCATGTTCATTAATAAATTCTCCCATTTCATGTTTCATTCAGACAGGCAGATTTGTTGCCAACCATGTGATGGCCAGTCTGACCAAGCCTCCAGCAGTGGCTTGGCCCTTTCCTGTATACCAAAGCCTTTAGGAGAGGGGCTATGTAAATTATCCCAGCTTCGCTTGATCCAGATGCTTCTGAGTTGTAGTTTTGCTTTTATAACATTACTTTCAAACAGTATCTATGGTAGACTGGAGTCAATGGTCAACATTTTATTGGAAGTTTATGCTTTTGTAAAAGAAATTGCACAACTGCATCCACACTCAGGAATGCACATGCCCAAAATTGTATGTTTACTCAGGAGCTCTACCAGTACCTCATTAATGAGTAGTAATTTACTGCCAAGTCTTCTATTTTTCATATATAAAATCCCACTCAGCCATAGAAATTCACTAGATGGTAGCAACAGTAAACCAGTCTTTGAACATGTCACATATTTTGAAAACTCTATTGGGATTACTGTAAATTGAAATCAACTTGACAGTACATAGCACACACATGCATATGCGCACGCACGCACACACACACACACTCACACAGCCTTTTCTGTTTGGAGAGAGATAATCTAGACCAGGCTTGTCCAACCTTGGCCCTCCAGATGTTCTTAGACTACAGCTCCCAGAAGCCTTCAGCACCACCTCTGCTGGCCAGGAGTTGAAGTCCAAGAACATCTGGAGGGCCACGGTTGGACAAGCCTGATCTAGACTGACATAGTCCATTCTACAAAGACAAATAAAATTGATACTTTTAAAGAATAATTTTATTAATTTTTCTTTAAAAACATTATTTTCAGATATTAGGTTTTGAGGGTCTTTGTCACTAATAAACACTGAAATAACAAATGTAAAATGCATGAATCTACTGTATTGTTACCTTCCTTGCCTCTGTGTTAGATATGATTATGTTTGAATAGTATGTAGCTAGAGCAGTACTAGAAGGAGCTGGAATTTTTAGCATGTATACATTACTGAAACGATGACGTCTATGTTGGCTCAGGCATGTCGTGAGAACGGCTGATGGTCGGATCTCCTGTATGGAGAATTAGTGCAGGGAAATCACCCCAGAGAGAAATCACAGCTGCGATACAAGGATATCTGCAAGCAGGATCTGAAGGCCTTAGGAATGGACCTCAACAGATGGGAAACCTTGACATCCAAGCATTCAGCCTGGAGGCAGGCAGTGCATCATGGCCTCTCCCATCTTGATGAGGCACTTGTCCAAGAGGCTGAGGCAAAGGGGCAGACCCAAAACCAGCAAAATCAGGGAGCTGGACAAGAGAAGATTGTATTTGTCTTCAGTGTGGAAGGAATTGTCACTCTCCAATTGTCCTTCTGAGCCACACTAGACGCTGCCCCGAGACCTCTATTCAGAGCATGTTACCATAGTCTCTCGAGACTGAAGGATGCCTAATAAAAACAATTAATACAAATGTAGCTAATAGAAGTCACTAAGGACAAATGCAGCCCATTAGAATTCAAGCTGGGATACATTCTTGAACAACTGTGAAATTCTTTCTATTGCTGTGAAACCCACTTTCAATGCTGCTCAGGATGTCATCTGAAAGGTTCCTCCTTCCACGCCACAGCAGCACAAATAGTCCTGCTTTAGAAGTTATGACCTTTCTCAACTTATCAAAGTGACCCTCTCATTTTGTTCTCTCTCTTAGGGCCTCCAGATGTTCGTCAGTCCTGTGAGACCAGCTTGCAGGCCTGGAGCCCTGAATTTAATCTGTTCAACATGAGCATGACCACTCCTTGCCTTCAGCCACTTGGTTGTATTTTGGAGTTGCGCTTTTTGCATCCAGTATATCCAGACTCTTTAGTGGTGTGGACTACCAATTTCTCAACAGATTCCAAGGCTTTGTCAGATATTGAGATCCTAACAGAGCATGGGGGTTCTGTACACCTGGGACCCATGGACACATCCTGTGATGTGCCCCTTACAATCAAACTGAACCTGAACAAGAAGGTGTCTGGCATAAAGCTCTATACTTTTGATGAGAAAATGGAGATAGATGCTGCACAGCTGATTTCCACACCTCTGTGCCCACTTTGTTCCAGTTGCAAACCTGTGAGGTACAGAGTTCTCCGGCATCCCCCATTTTTGAATGGATCCCCAGCAATGGTGATGCAACCAGGACAAAGGTTTATTGACAAGTGAGTGATTAGATTAGTACTAAGGAACTTTCTCATAGCTGATGGGCCCTCAGGAATATCCCAGTTCCTTTCTATTTGTTTCTTTCTGAAATCTAGCACTTCCCTCTGCCATGAAATAGTTACTATTGATTCTAGGATACTAGCCAGTTACAAGAAATTCAATAGAATGATTCCCAACTAGCTGGATATGCATTACTTTAAAGACACTGTTTTACTTTAAAGTGTCTTATTTTAAAAACAGTGTCTTTAAAATAACACCTGAAATCATTTCAAGTATATTCAATTTAAATGTATTGGAATGTTCCCATTTAGATTTTGTTATTTCATGTTGATCTGCTCTGATCTTCAACCAGTATATCCTGCTGACCCCACTCATCTCATCTATACAAAAAGCTGTTGGACTAATCACTCTGTTTCTAATTTGCTTTTCTTGTTTGTTAGTAGAGCTGTTATAAAAGTCCATGAAAATGTTAGATTTTACTTATTCCCTAAATTTGGAGTTTATTTTATTACTCAGAAGGAAGAAAATGTCCAGAGGTAGTGACACCTGTAGAGACCTCCAGCTTCCACTAGGAGGCTTCTACTTGCCCACTTAGTAGGCTGCTTCTGAGAAAAGCAGCACTACCCACATTTCCAGAAGCCTGGGTGTAGAATGTTTCTGGAGAAGTGAATAAAAGAGACACATAAAAAAATAGTGTTTTTATTCCTTATGCAACACTTTATTTTCTGGTTATGAAGTTAGTGTTCTCTGGTTTTCACTTAGAATATTTTTCTTACATTTGGGGGAATGAGTCTTAAATTTCATTGGCTGTTGATAAGCACTAAGAAATAGGACCCTTTTTTACCTGTGTTATGCCAACAGTGCTGGCTGCCAGTGTCAGATTGAAGGTTTCATGCCTTTACTAGCTGAGACCCACATTCATTATTATTATTATTATTATTATTATTATTATTATTATTATTATTATTATTATTATTATTATTATTATTATTATTATTATTATTATTATTATTATTTTGCGTCTTGATGCCAAGATAACTTGGCTAGCCTTGGGTACTTTGCACCTTGTCTTGAAGCGTGGGGCGGGGACTTTGAATAGTATGGATTAGTGTGGGTTCACACAATGCTTTCTGCAAGTCACAACTCCGTGATAAAAAGCATCCATTGCTTGTGCCATACTTCCTTTTGATAATACTAATCCACTTTTTTGTTCAGGACTCTTCAATGCATGAAGTTATTCAATACAATTAGTTAGACCTTTCTGAGAAATTCCAACATTGCTGGTTACATATGCATCGTCAAGCTCACACCAAAGAGCCAGTTCACAAACTCAGTAAAAAACAACAATGAATTGAATTAAAAACTATAGCCCTTTATGATGTAGGGGCAGTTCTGTAGACACGTGGAGAGAAACCTCATCTGCATGGAGAAACTGCTCACCATGACGAAAGCTATGCAAAACCTTCAGTCTTTGACAGGAACGGACTAGTAGCCAGTGCTGTTCTTGTAACAGGAGCGTTATATGCTCCCTGTAGCTGGCCCCAGTCAGTAGTCTGGCTGCAGAGTTTAGCACCAGCTGAAATATGTTTTCTCTTTCTAAGAGTTACAAAATGACAATTTTGGCTCATGTTTGACTTAGTGTGTTCACAATTTAATTTTGTGGTTCTTGAGTTAGTGTTTGTTTCATATCACTGATTATTACTGGCCGCGGGTCTGGTCTCTGTTGGATGGAAAGAAATATTTTAAATGAATTAATTAAAATAAAATAAATTTTCAGTGTGTACAGTAGAATCCTCTTATCCGTAGGATCAATATCTGATGATTCACCTACAGTGGGGTCTCGACTTACGAACTTAATCCGTATTGGAAGGCAGTTTGTAAGTCGAAAAGTTCTTAGGTCGAATCTGCATTTCCCATAGAAATGCATTGAAAACCATTTAATCTGTATCTGCTCTTTTCCGTCCATAGAAACTAATGGGAAGCTGCTATTCCGCCTTCTGCCACTAGAGGGGGATATTGTTTCTTTTTTCCCCTTAGGTTCAGGAAACGAGGAGGAAGGCAGGGAACAGTTTGCAAAGCACTTTAGAAATCTTTTTTTTTCAGGGAAGCCAATTTTAAATCATGTTTTAAAGCATGTTGTGCTGATTTTTTCAGCACAAAGACACACTGGCAGGCTTTTTAGGTGCTGAGCAAGCCTCCCCAAGCCTCTTCAGAGCCAGCCCATCAGCTGATAGGCAGGGAGAGGAGGGTGCAGGAGCGGGGGGGGGGAGCACAAAATGGCTGCCAGGCTCCCTTCTGGTGTGGGCTTTTAGCTGTTTCCTGCTCTTTTTCCTGCTGTTTGGGGGCTACCAGGGCCTGGTAAGTGACTTTCTTTTATTTATTTTTAGGTTTCTGACCCTTTTTCCCCTCCAGAAGCCTCTAAGGGGAGGGAGGGGGGACTTTTTTCCCTGTATGTAACTCGAGGGAAGTACGTATGTCGAGTCCTTATTTCCCCTATAGGACGGGTTCATAAGTTGAATTGTTCGCAAGTAGGGTCATTCGTAAGTCGAGACCCCACTGTATCCACAGTCTGACAATACTAAAAATATTTTAAGTTACCAGAACTGGGAGCCAGATACAGTACCATGCTAGTGTTCACTGGAGAAATAGATTTCCACAATGACATTACGACAACTGGCCACTTGATGGAGCCAGAGATCATGCTGTGTATAGTGTTTGCTATTAAAATAGCATTTCTCATTTTTCAGCATCTAGGGGGGTGGGGCTTGGAACCAATCCGCCAAGGATATGAGGGTTCTACTGTATTTAAGTTTGCAAACCTCTTTGAACAAAAGAAAAAAACATTGTAGTTTTGTTTTCAGTGATATAAATCAGTGATTCCCAGGCATTTTGGAATCACAACTCCCTTGATTTACTGATCACTGGCCATGGCTCCCCTTGCTTAGAGTGCTCATCAGTGGTCTCTCTGCCACCAGCAGAAGGATCTTGATACTCCAGCCATCTCATATCCTGCCTCCAAGGGCTCACCTCCTTTCAGGTCCTGATGCAAGAAACTCACAAGGACGCCTGCTAAGTGCCTCCACCAGGGTCAAGAGAGATAAGGCAAGAAGAGGCAGGCACACAGCTTCCACTTCTGGTTCCTATTTGACATAGAGCTATGAATAACTCCTCTACACAAAGCTATGAACATGTCCTCTACAACCTTCATAGCTCTATGTTCTACCTTTTTTGTTTCCAGGCACCCCACAGAGCCCCGGTGCACAGCTTGGGAACCTCTGATATAAATAAAACTGTTTTCTTCTTGGCCCCCTGCTGATTTGCTATGATGCAAGCTGCTGATGCAAGCTCACTCTTGCTCTACAGCTGAGCAGTCAAGTCCAAGTCAGAGGCTGGGAGTTTGATTCCCCACTGGGCCACCTTGACTTGGGCTGGGCCCTTCCCGTTCTGCAGTTCTAAGTTCTAAGATCTGTTTCTCAAAAGAGAGAGCAGAGGAAATTGCCAGTAAGTACTGCAGAACTCCTGCAAATGTGCTACTATAGAACTATGTTTAGAACATTGAACAGGGAGTTGGATTCATTGGCCTTATAGGCCCCTTCCAATTCCATCATTTCATGATTCTATGATTCTATACTTTAACAGACTGCAAACTAGAACTGGCTGCTGATTTCCACCTCTCTGCTGATTTCCCTCTTTTTTCTGTTTGGTCTCCAATTTCTCTACTGTACTAGAGCTGATGTCAAGCCTTGGGGGGGGGGATTAAATGGTTTTGAGACTAGGAAGCATGGAGAGACAACTTCTGGTCATCCTTTGCATCAGCTCAGGCAGTTACTTTGCCTGAACTGATATGAATGCACAATTTTTTTTTTGTTAAAGCAGGCACCCCAGTGGCAGAGGAAAAAAATTACACTTTGGGTGGCAGTGGTAGGGGTGGGGAACAACTTTAGGCTGATTTACTTTGGCTAATAGGTCCTGTATTCCACAGAAAACAATATGAATCAGACTGGCCAAGTCTTGGAGCATTTCCTTCATTATTTGTTGATATAGTCACATCATAAATGGAAAAATAACTAGCTCCTTGCATGCTCAATAGTGCTCCTATTGCCACTAGTGTGGGGTTTTGCAAAGGCCAGCATGCATTTTTGAGAGGAGCTTTTGCTAACCCTTCGAGATCCTCATGCAGTCCAGCCAAATGTTTCAGATTCTCCCTCATGGAAGGTCACCTCTCCTCTATTCTGGGCTTAGTGGTGTTAAAAAAGAACTGGAAATGAACCTAAAAGTAATAGCTGAGATTTGTGTGAACAGCAGCCACTTCTGAGATTTCGCCTAAGTAGCAAACTCTCCAATGCAAGAGCAGGGGACTGCAGTAGAGGATCATCAGTGGTGACGGTGAATCCAAAGCTCATGCTCTCCCTCCTGCACCCACACGGGGTGACCATCAGAGGATGGAAGTAGAGTTTTCAGTATAAAGGCATCACTTGTAATGTGTTATTTTTTAAGTTAATATTTCCTTTTTAATATTGTAACAAAAATAGCAGAAATATTGCAGTTTTTACAAATGTAATATCGTCCCATTATTGTAAAAATGTTTTTTTGGGAAACTTCGGAGATTATGGGGCCATAGTAGATTATTTTTAGTCTGTTACTTTGTTTAAATTTAAACTTATATTGAACATTATTGTGCCCATAACTTATAAAAACTACTGCCAAACAAGTAACGTACTACTTTTTGATAAATGTTTCCAAGCTCTGATGGCCATTTGCTCCACTTTGAGTTGCACAAATTTTATTAGTCAGGTAATCATGTAAGTGGTGGCATGCTCAAATGAATGGGATGAGAGCCTCCATCACTGATGACACCAAGGTATTTTATGATTAAACCATGGAGCAATTGGTAAAGCAAAGCGGGTTGTGGAGCAACCTGTATCAACAACATCCTCAGTAATATCCAGATGAACAACTAGAGATGGGGGAATCCACTGCTTTCCAGCCACTGATATATCTGTTATCTTTTGTTTCTTTATTGTTCATTTTTAAAAACTGTGTTGAAATATATATTTAAGTACTTTAAATATATTTTCTCTCAAAATATGAGTTTTAAAACATTTTAATGCATTTCGTTTGGAGTTGAAAACAGGAGCTTCAGAACTGACACAAAAACAGGAGCTTCAGAACTGACACAACCAAGTTTATATTCTCATCTTTGTTAGGGAAGTATGAATCAAGTCATATTGACATTCACAAAGGTAAGATTCTTCAAGCAACTCTACACATGCTTCCCTAGTCAAGCTATAAGCATGAACAGGATGGCACTGCAATATTAAATAAGCAAGGGTCCCCAAGCAGCTTTCCTGTCTTTCTATTTTGAAATAGTGCACTCAGCACAGGCAGTCATGAAGAGAGTCTAATACATTGCTTGGCTATGGAGGAATAGATGGGATTGCACTGTATCACTGCCTGTGTTGGCTCATTTAGTCATACAGTTAACAGCCCCCAAACACAATTTATCAGATCCCAAACCTTGGTATCTCTCCCCCCACCCAGTTATTGACCCCTCCTTTTCATCTGAGCCTGCAAATTGTGAAGATGAATTGTGAAGATGAATTGTGAAGATATTTTCTAATGCTTTTTATGATAAGTTATTTTTATATGTTTATGTCATCCCTCTATGTATTTATGTCTGCATATTTTGTGTTTTAAACTCTTTGTGCTTCATTGATCTATGGTCAAACCCATATGTTTCATATGGATAGCACATAATTAAGATCTGAAAACATTTTCATGTTCCATACTCACAATCTGGCAGAACTTCATTCCTGTACAATTGTATTTGCAGATGACATCAATGTTTACCTCCTGAAACCAAAAATTAAATAAGCCAGTTTGATTTGCAAGCTTCAAGATTAAAAACCTTATGCTATAAAAACCAGACAGCAATTAAGGAATATCCATATTTAAACACAGGCTATCTAAAACATTGAGTCCAAACCCTAGAGTTTAATAGATTGACTAACAAAACCCTAACATTGTATTCTCGAAGGCTTTCACAGCCAGGATCCTATAGTTGTGAGTTTTCTGGGCTGTTTGGCCATGTTCTTAAGGTTTTTCTTCCTAACGTTTCACCATTCTCTGTGGCCGGCATCTTCAGAGGACAGGAATAACT